TAGCAACAGCAACAACAATAATAAAAAAAACGAAATAACATTAAAAACAGCAGAAACAACAACAAAGACAACAACAACAAACAACAATCATCATTAATCATCACAACAACAACAAAGCCCCGACAGCAACAAAACAAACAAAACTCAACAACAACAAAGCACCGACAACAACAAAACAACAAAAACAACAGCAACAACAACAACAACAACAAAGCCCCGACAGCAACAAGCGCCGACCCTAATCCCGTAGCGCCTCCACGCCCACCTCTTCAGTATCGCCGCCCACCGCCCACCGCCCACTTCCACGCCCATATCCACCCCCGTCTCAGCACCTCCCATCCTCGCATATTTTATGAGCTGTGTCGAATCCGTGTGTGTGCGTGAGAGAGAGAGAGGAGGAGGGAGGAGGAGGAGGAGGAGGAGGAGGAGGAGGAGGAGGAGGAGGAGGAGGAGGAGAGGAGGAGAGGAGGAGGAGGAGGAGAGGAGGAGGAGGAGGAAGAGAGAGAGATAGAGATATACAGACAGACAGACAAAACACAGCCACAGAAATATACAGAGAGATAGAAACACAAACAGACAGAAATACACAGACACGAAAACAGACAGGCAGCCACAGACACAGCCAGACAAATTACGAGCCTACCAAGAGCAAGTCCGGTGAGTGCCAAACCACAAGGCGTGACCCTGTTGTATGGGCACCGCCTAAGCCCAGGTCATCGCGGGGTGATTAAGGTCACACAAGTCCAGGGGGAGTGTCGACCTACCCCCCCCCCCTTCCAACCCCCAACCCCCACGTGGTTCGAAGTGGAGTATGCAGGGGGGCGTGTCGACCTCCCCACCCACCCCTTCTAACCCCAACCCCCAACCCCCACGTGGTACGAAGTGGAGTAGGCAGGGGGCGTGTCGACCTCTCCCCCCCTCCAACCCCCAACCCCCCAACCCCCCACGTGGTTCGAAGTGGAGTAGGCAGGGGGGCGTGTCGACCTATCCCCCTCCCTTCCAACCCCCCCCCCCACGTGGTACGAAGTGGAGTATGCAGGGGGGGCGTGTCGACTTCTCCCCCCCTTCCAGCCCCCCCCCCCACGTGGTTCGAAGTGGAGTATGCAGGGGGGCGTGTCGACCTCTCCCCCCACCCCTTTCAACCCCCAACCCCCCAACCCCCACGTGGTTCGGTGTGAGTGTCCAGCGCCGACCCACTCATTAGTGTTAATTGCGCCTTCGTGTAACTCCCACAAGACCATGACGAGGCCGCGGGTGTGTGTCTGCTGAGCGACTCTGCTGGCCTGCTCGGGTTGCATTGTGGGCGGGGGAAGGGGGAGGGGCGGGAGAGGGGGAGGGGATAGGGGAGAGGGGAGGGATGGGATAGGAGAGAGGGTGGGGAGGGAGAGGGGAGAGGGGGAGGCAGGGAGGGGAGGAGGAGGGAGGATGGGAAGGAGGTGGAAGGAGGAGGAAGAAGGAAGAGTCAGGAGGAGGCAGGAGGGGGTAGAATAAGAAGAAGAAGAAGAGGAGGAGGTGGAGAAGGAGAAAGGCAGGAGGGGAAGAAGAAGAAGAGGAGGAGAAGAAGGAGAAGGCAGGAGGCAGGAGCGGAAGAAGGAAAGAGGAGGAGAAGAAGAAGAAGGAGAGGAGAGAAGAAGAAGAAGAAGAAGAAGAAGTAGGCGAGAGGGGCAGGGGGCGAGGCTGAAGCGCCGCCCCGGCCAGGTGGGCGCTCGGCAGACTTCTCCTTTGTTCAGTTCGTTAGCGTCTAATGATCGTTAGTAATTGTTATTATCACGTGTCGATTACCTCCCTGTTAGTTGCTCTCTCTCTCTCCTCCTCCCTCCTCTCGGCCCTTTATCTCCATCTCTCTTTCTCCCTTCGTTCCTCCCACTTCCTACTTTTTCTCCTATTTCTTCTGATCCTTCATTCTCAATTACCCGTTTTCCCATCTTCACTCCTTCCCTTTCCTCCTTTCTCCCCTTCTCTCTCTTCTCTCTTTCTCACTTTCTCTCTCGTTCTATCTCTTTCTCCTTCTCCCTTCCCCTCTCCCTTGTCTCCCTTTCCCTCCTCCCTCCCTCCCCCACTCCACCCCTCTTCCCTCACCTCCCAATTCATCCCCTCTCCCCCCCTCCTCCCTCCCCTCTCCCCCCCTCCCTCCCTCTCCCTTTCCCTCCCTCCCTCCCCCCACTCCACTCCTCTTCCCTCACCTCCCAATTCACTCCCCTCTTCCACTCCCCCTCCCCCTCCCCCCACCCCTCTCCCCCTCTCCCCCTCTCCCCCTCCCTCCCTCCGTACATGGCCGTGCGATTGAAGGGGGGATTGAAAGGTGCAACTGACACGGGCGCTGTTTGTTTCGTTGGGGAGAAAGTGATAGCGAGAATGATAAGAATTCTCTCCTCTCTCTCTCTTTCTCTCTCTCTCTTCTCTCTCTCTCTCTCTCTCTCTCTCTCTCTCTCTCTCTCTCTCTCTCTCTCTCTCTCTCTCTCTCTCTCTCTCTCTCTCTCTCTCTCTCTCTCTCTCTCTCTCTCTCTCTCTCTCTCTCTCTTCTCTTTTCTTTATTTTTTTTTGGGGGGGTGATAGGGAGGGGGAGAAGGAGGTGGAGGGTGCTTGGTTTTTTTTGATTTTGAGTATTATGAATGAAAGATGAAAAAAATCTATAAAAGAAAGAATAAATGTAAAGAAAAGAAGAGAAAAATACTGCAAAACAAAATATTAAAAGAACTAAAAGGACGAAATAATACGACGCGCAGCATTTAATTATTAAAATCAAAAATCAGTAGAAAGAACAGATGTAAAGGAATTTTATTAAAAGGAAAATGTGAAAATAGAAAAAAAGGACTTTTATAACCCACATTTGATTATTAAGTATTATGAATAAATAGAAAAGCAGACATTAAGAAGAACAAGAAGGAAAACAAACACTAAAAGACAAAAAATCTAAAAGAAGTAGAATAAAAAAAATAAAAATAAAGTAGAAAAAACGAATAGTAAAAGACAACAGATCTAAATAATAATAATAATGATAATAATAATACCATAAATATAATGATAATAATAATGATAATTGATAATAATAAAATAATAATATAATATAGATATACTACTACTACTATACTACTAATAATGATAATAATAATAATAATGATAATAAGAATAAGAATAATGATAATAATAAAATAATAATAGTATAACATAAAACAAGAAAAAAAATATAAAAACGCTTAACCCCGGCCGCCCCCCCCCCCCCCCCCCCCCCTGAAGGAGCGAGCGCCCATGCAAGCGGCAGGGCGCGGCCCCACACTCACCTGCAGATCGGCCGGCCGTCAGAGAGCAAGCGGAGGCCCCGAGATGGCTATCGGGGGGATCGGGACCCCGTGCTTCGGCTTCATCCGGAGGCTGCGGTGGCGGAGGGGGTGGAGGGAATGAGGAGGGGAGGGGATGGATGGAGAGAGAGAGGGAGGAGAGTCTGGATGGAGAGGGAAGAGGAAGGAAGAGTGGGATGGAGTGGTGAGGGGAGGGATGGGATGGAGAGGAGGAGTTTGGGAGGGGGGGGAGTTGGGGAAAGGGATTGAGGGAGGAGTGGAGAGGGGGAGGGATAGGGAGCAGTTGGGGAGGGGATCGAGGGAGGGGAGGTGTAAGGTGTGTAGCGGAGGAGGAAGAGGAAGACCTAGAGAGGGGAGGGAGGGGGGGGGCATGGGAGGATGACACTCCAGTCGCCGCGACAGAATAGAGCAAAATTCTCCGAGAAGAATGGATGGCCTCGCCTCTCCCTCCCTCTCTCCCTCCCTACCTTCCTCCCTCTCTTCCTCCTTTTTTCCTCCCTCCCTCCACCTTCCTCTCCCGTTCCGTCCCTCCCTCTCCTCACTTCTCTCATCCTCTCTCTTCTCTCCCTTTCCCTCCTTCCTCACTTCCTTCCCTTTCTTCCTCTCGTCCCTTCTCTCCCTCTCCTCCTCCTCCCTTCTCGCCACCCTTCCCCCTCTCCGGCCGTCCTCGCTCCCCGTACGGTTTCCCCCAGGTGTGTTCTTAGGTAGATTTACGGCAGCGCCACCGGGTAATCAGCAGGTGAGGCGAAGGAGGTGGAGGGCGAAGGGAGCCTCGATCACCTGTGGGGGTGGGGGAGGGAAAGGGGGGTGGGGAGTGGGGGAGGGGGGGAAGGGGTTGGGGTGGTTAGATGAAGGGGCGGTAGCTGTGGTTGAGAAGGGGTGTGGTGGTAGTGGTGGTTGAAGAGGTGGTAGTTTTGAGAAGAGTGGTGGTAGTGGTAGTGGTTGAGGTGATGGTAGTTTTGTGAAGGGAAGTGCTTGTTGATGGTGGTTGCGGTGGTCGTAGTTGTGGTTGGGATAGAAGGTGGTCGAAGTGTTGGTTGCGTTGGGCCTCCTCGTCCTCTCCTGGCCCCGCAACCCCCCCCCCCATCCCAACCCTCCGGACCTCGCCCTGGGCATGGGTTGTGTCCGCCCCAGACAGCAGCTCGCAAGATGGATTGACGAAGGACAGACGAAAAAATAAATGATTGCCGACAATCCGTCTCGAGCGATAACAACATGCAAGCAGAACCCGACGAGTGCGAGATGCAATCTTCACCAGCGTTGCAATAGTGGGCTTTGGTCACGTCGGATGGCTGCAGTAAATGTGCGTCTGTGAGGCTAATATAGATAGAAGAAATTGGTGCATAAGGGAAATGATGTGCAAGAGTTGTGTGCGTGTGTTTGATTAATAAAAAGATTAAAAAATGATATACAAATGAGCCCGTTTAGATCGCCAGCATCCGTTCCCGTCCTCGGTTACAAGGCGGCTGCGAAATGTTGCAAGATTAGCTGGAAATGGCCCCCGTTATCTCTTAAAAGGCGGCGAGATTCCCCCCGAGGTACCTGCAGAATGGGCCCAAGGCCTTGTAGGGGGACGGAAGGGTCCCTCACAAAGGCCCGAAAGGCGCAGGACAGCGAGAGGGCTTTGGGACGTCAGCGCGCGGCTGTCGCATTCCCAGGGCGCCTTTGAAGCAGCTGGCGGGAGGCTCCTATCGGGGGACATCAGCGCGGCGGCGAGCCCATTACGCCCTTTGCAGGATGGATCCTCGGCGGAGGGATGGACACGGCGCTGCGCCGGGGTCGGGAGCGGCGCGCCCCGAGGGCCTCCCGCCCCGCCGCTCGCTCAATGAGCCTCGACGCCGCGGCTTTGCGAGCGACAAAGGCCTCCCTCGGAGCCCCGGTCGGAGGGGCGTGCCGCGCGGGGCTCTCGAGCGCCCCCGGTGGACCCTGCGCGCCGGAGGGCGTCGGGGACGAGGCCGTCGGGCGAGAAGGCCTGTGAACTTCCCCGGTTTCGTGCAAGGGACCGGCGTCGGGGCGCCCGAAACGGCCCTTTTTGTGTAGGACATCACCCCGACCCAACACGGCGCATTTCCTCCCTTGTGAGTGACTCCCTCCTTTATTTGGCCGCTTGTTCGATGGATCAGCATCGGCGGAGGGGCGGTCGGCTCGGTCGCCGGGCGCTGGCGGAGCTGCGCCCGATTCCGTGAAGTCGAGGACCGGGGAGGGGGGGGTCTTGACCAGAGGGCAAAGAAGGCAAGGGGAAGGGTAAAGGCAAGCGAAGGGAAAGGGAAGAATTCGCGGAAGGCATGAGGAAGACGACGTAAAGCAAGGCAAGGAAGACTAAGAGAGGGTAAGCAAAGCGAAGCTAAAATAGGGTAAGAAAAGAAAAGAAAAACAATAAGAGAAGAGAAGGGATAGAATGAAGAGAGATAGAAAGAAAAAAAGAAAGGAAGGAAGAGAGAGAGAGAAAAAGAAAGGAAGGAAGGAAGAGAGAGAAAAGAAAGGAAGGAAGGAAGAGAGAGAGGAAGGAAGAGAAGAGACCCCAGAGGAGGAGGGTCGAGAAGAAGGACGCCCCCCGCCTCCCGACCCCCCCTCCCCCGCCCGTGTCAGTGTAATCCGTGATCCGGACTCAGCATTTGTCGCTATCCGGATGATCGAAGTAGCGATACCAGGTAGATCGGGGGCGGGCGGGGAGGGGGGGGGGTTCCTTGGGGCTGTGTGGTCGAAGGACTCGCGGTGGAGGGGCCTTGGGAGGGTCTGCGTGTTTGGTTCTTTGCAGTGTGGGGTGTCGGTGTGGTTGTGGGTTTTTTTTTTTTCGTTGTTATTATTTATCATTCGTTATCATCATTGTCGGTGTGGTTGTGGGCGGGTTTTTCGTTGTTATTATCATTTCGGTATCATCATTATCGTCATTATTACCGTTGCGATCAATCTCTTATCATCATCATTCATCATCATCGTTATCGTAATCTTCATTGTCATCATCATCATCGTCATCATCATCATCATCGTCATCATCATCGTCGTCGTGTCGTCGTCAATCATCAGTCATCATCATCATCATTCACCATCACCAGACACAACCACTATTACCGTTCTCGTTACTACCAACACCAACAAAACTACCATTACACCATAACTGCTACCATTAGTACCATCATCACCATTATTCCCATGGCCATAGAATCGCCATCATCATCACAATAGCCGACAATTCATCTCATTGTCCCACGAGTCATCACCAGACATCAATCACCACTCTCACCATCACTAAAACATCATAGCCAATTTATCTCGTGTTTTAATCATTCGCCGGTTCACAATTACACTTTTATCTCGTGTTTTAATTCCGGTGTTTTATTCGCTCCGGTTCAAATTACATTTTATCTTCGTGTTTTAATTCCGGTGTTTTATTCGCTCTCCGGTCAGCTTATAACGTCGTTTTAATTCCGGTTTTTATTCGCTCGGTTCACAATTACACTTTTATCTCGTGTTTTAATTCCATTCGCTTCGGGTCGTGTTTAATTCCGCGCTTCGGTTCACAATTACACTATTAAATCTGTGTGGCAAGACGTCTGTAATATGCAAGCCTTCCTTACCTCTCCTGTCAGCTGGTTTGACAGCTTGACCGCCCCCCCCTCCCCCCCCCCCCTCCCCCCTCCTTCGATAGAGATCTTCGCTACTAAACGTTTAATAGGCTGGTTGATGAGGAATTTCCACCTGTTGCCATGCCATCTGGGGGGACGGGGGGGGGGGGGGTGAGGGTGTCATGGCAGTCGTTTTAGGGTCGTTTTTTTTTTTTTTTTTTTCCTGGGTGGAGGTTTTGGTTTTATTGATTTGTTGGTTTGGTTGTTTGTTTGTGGATTGGTTTCTTTGTTTATTTTGCTTATTAATGGATTTCCTTGTGTGTTTATGAGTGTTTTTATTCATGTGTTTCATATGTTTATTTTGTTTTTATAATATATATATATATATATATATATATATATATATATATATATATATATAATTTTGTTTATTGATATATTTATTCGTTTGTTTATTGATATACTTATTTATTGTTTTTTATTGGCATAGTTATTCATTTCTTTATTTCTGTATGTATTGATTCATTTCTTTACTCTCCGCTCTCCTGGTTCGTGTGGTTCATGTCCGGTGCCATGGGGGGGGGGGGCCTTGACTCTCCGCTCGTATCATGTCAGATTCAGAGGGAGGACGGAGGGAGGGAGGGAGGGAGGGAGGGAGGGGAGGAGGGAGGGAGGGAGGGAGGGAGGGAGGGAGGGAGGGAGGGAGGGAGGGAGGGAGGGAGGGAGAGAGAGGGAAGGGGAGAGGGAAGGTGGGAAGGGAGGGAAGGTGGGAGAGGGAGGGGAGGAGAGGGAGGGAGAGGCAGAGACAGAGATAGGCAGACAGAAAAGAGAGAGAGAGAGAGACATAGAAAAATAAAGAGAGAGAGAGTGTGTGTGTGTGTCAGACGTGTTCAGGAGACTTACTGATGGGAAGTGTGGGTTCCTCGGATGCCTTGGACGAGGTGGAAGATGCGCCGCCATTTTTCTTTTTTTTTTGTGGGGTACTTTTCTTCCTTTCCTTTCTCTCGTTCTTCGTCTCTTTTATTCTTTTTTTCTTTTCTTTCTTCCTTTCTTCTGTGCCTTCTTCTTCTGCTCGCTGTTTCTCTCTTCTTTCTTCCATTCTTCCATCCCTTCCTGCTTCCCTTCTTTCTTTCATTCTTCTGTGCCTTCTTTTTTCTTTCTTCTCTGTCTCTCTCTTCTTTCTTCGATTCTTCCGTCCCTTCCTTTCAGTGGCCCTCTTTCTCTGTTGTTCTCCCCCTAATTCCTCTGTCCATCTGCTTTTCTTTTTTCCTCCCTTCCCCTCTTATTGTCGTCTGTCATTTTCTTTCTTTCTTCTCTTCCTCAGTTCCTCCTCCTTCCTTCCCTTCCTCTCTCCGTCCCTAATTCCCACTCCAGCTCCACCTCGCCACCTTCCTCTCCTCCTCCTCCTCCTCTCCCCTCCTTTTCTCTTCCTCTTCCTCCTCCTTCTCCGCCTCCTCGTCCTCTGCTTCCTCCTCCTCCACCTCCGCCTCTATCACCTCCTTCTCCTCTTCCTCTTCTTCCTCCTCCTCTCTCCGATTCCTCCTCTTCTCCTCCCCCAGATGAAAGAGAGGTCGAGTCCCCCGACCCTCTCCGACGTCCCGACCGACCGAGTCCCGCGACGGCGTGCCCGATGTCCCCCTCTGCTCCCAGGGAATGCCACAAAGCCAGGATCAGAGCTGTTGGAAAATGTTAATTGTTGGCAAGCTGTCTGGGTCGTCCAGGGGATCCCAAGGTCTGGCCAGCCCTGTGTTCCCTGGCCAACACGATCAGCTGCCACCGGGAGCTCTCCTTCGCACGCCATTTTCACCTGTGGCGACACCTGCGCGAAGGGTCCTTTTCCTGCGCCCGGTCCTCGCTCGCCCATACCCTCTGCCGCCTCGCCGTCAGCGGAGAATCGGTCTCGCCCTTGCGTCAGAGCGCGTTAGGGTCGGATGTCGCTCGGAGCGCCCCCGTCCCATAGCCTCCTCTCGGACGCGATTTTTTACCTTGTGTCGCGACGCTGGACGTGAGAGATTCGCAGGGAGATAAGGCGGGATGAGCAATGCACCCGCAAGCGACTTTAACCCCTGCGCGCGGGGGGAACAAGGTCGTTCTAGGTTGCCTCGCCAATATATGCAGATGAATGGGCCGTTTTTATTTTGTCTCCTGGGCGTCGGGGATATACGGGTGAGATTAGCGTGCCGCCCTGAGAGATGCCGAGGCGCTCGTTGCAACTCGGGCGCAGCGCAAATGTGACCCTGCGGACGCCCGCTGGAAGGCCTATTTTCGCGTGAAGAGGCCGCGCGCATTTTTAGCATTGTTCGATGGGGGGGGGGGGGGGGAGAAGAGAGCTGTGGGAGTTTTTTGCGTCTGCTGGAAGTCTGGCTTTAAACTCCCAGGGAACAGGCCGCGCTCATCGACGCTCCCTGTGTGGTGATCCTCAGTTCTTAACACACGGGGCAAAAAAAAAAAATAATTCCCTCCTCCTCTCTCTCTCTCTCTCCCTCCCCTCCTCCTCTCCTCCTCTTCCTCTTCCTCCCCTTCTCCACCTCTCCTCCCTCTCCTCCTCCTCCTCCTAAGACCTCTTGCAGTCCCTTTTAAGATGTATTTTTTGTCTCATAAACGTGTCAAAGTAAAAAAAAAAAAAAGTGGCAGTTTCAGAACACGAAAGGGCGAATTTAGGTGGCCAGGAAAGGGTCTTTTTCTTTCTTCTTTCCTTCCTCATTCCTTTCCTTCCTTCCCTTCCTCTCCGTCCCTAATTCCCATTCCAGCTCAACTCTCACCCTTCCCCTTCCCTCCTTTTCCTTTTCCTCCTCCTCCTTCTTCTTCTTCTTCTTCTTCTTCTTCTCTACTTCTTTTCCTCCTCCTCCTCCCCCCGGCTCCGCCCCTATCACCCCCACCTCCTCCTCCGCCTCATCTTCCTCTCCTCCTCCTCTTCTCCCCCCCCCACTCCCAAACCCTTCGACCGCCAGGAAGGTTTGTTTACGGTGGTGCTCGGCGGTCGACTTCCCTGGCAGCTGATTCCTCGTTTGCGATCCTCTCGCGGAAGGAAGGAAAGAGACAGAGAGAGAGAAGAGAGAGAGAGGGATAAGGCGGATTAAAAAGTCTTGGGTGGGAGGAGACAGAGGAGAGAGAGAAAGAGAGAGAGGAAAGGGGAAAGGGTGAGAGAGAGGGTGGAGAAGGGGAGAGGGAGGGTAAGGGTGAGGGATGGGAGAGGAGAGGGAAAAGGGTGGGAGGAGGAGAGAGAAGGAAAGAGGAGTGGGGGAGAGGGAGAAGGGAGGGAGTAGGGGAGGACGAGGAGAAGAAGGGAGGATGGGGGAGGAGAAAAGAAGGGAAAGAGGAGTGGGGGAGATAGAGGAAGAAAGGAAAGAAGGGAGGATGGGTAGAGGAGCGAGGGAGAGAGGGAACGGGGAGGGGAGAGAGCGGGAAGAGGCGGTAGAGAGCCAGCGGGGAGAGGGAGGGAGAGCGCGCGCCCACAACAACGCATCTTTCTCAAGGCGGTTTCACCATCTCGCAGTTAAATAGTCAACAGTGTAAACAGGATTAAGTTTGATGAGTCACTCCCTCGTTCGCCGAGACGGGAGTCCTTCGCGCGGATGCCGAGGGGCGCCGCGCGGGCCTGGCGCCGCCCTCGCCCTCGCCTGCGGGGGCTCTCGGCGGGCTGGGGACGGAGGAGGAGGAGGAGGAGGAAGGAGGGAGGAGGAGGAGGTGAGGAGGAGGAAGGAAGAAGAAGGAAGAAGAAGAAAGAAGAGAGAAGGAAGAAGAGGAAGCAGAAGAAGAAGAAGAAGAAGAAGAAGAAGAAGAGGAGAAGAGAAGAAGGAGAGGAGAGTAAAGAAGAGTAGGAAGAAGAAGAAGAAGAGGAAAGAAGAAGAAGAAGAGTAGGAAGAGGAGGAGATGGAAGTGAAAGTGATAGAGGCGGAGAAAGAGATGGAGGAGGAGCAAGAGTCGGAGAAAGAGAGGAAGAATAGAAGGAGATTGAGGAGGAGGAAGAGATGGAGGAATAGCCGGAGAAGGAGGAGGAGATTGAGGAGGAGGAAGAGATGGAGGAATAGCCGGAGAAGAAGGAGGAGCTGGAGCTGGAGCAGGAGGAATAGCCGGAGCAGGAGGAGGCGACGCAACCTTGCCGCGACGCCGCACCCGATGGCTCGGCGCTGGCCTGGGCAAACACGGTCGAGGAAGCGGTCTTCGAGGGCTCCGTTCGCGCCGGGCAATTTTTTTTTTTTTTTTTTTTTTTTTTTTCTTCTTCTTCTTCTTCTCCATGCGAGAGGTCATTCCTTGCCTGTTCTTTTGTCAGGAGGATTGGTTCGATGGATGAATGGGTGGATGGATAGATAGATAGATAGATAGATATGAGACAGACAGATAGATAGGAGACAGACATACACAGTCAGACAGACAGATAGATAGGTCAGACAAATAGATAGTGAGACAGACAGATAGATAATGAGACAGACTGATAGTGAGATAGACATTAGATAATCGACAGACAGACTGACAGGCAGACAGACAGATAGATAATGAGACAGACAGACAGATAGATAGATAGAGAGACAGCAGACGTCATATAGGTAGATAGATAATGAGTGACTAAATGAATGGAATGCGTCGAGATATAACATTTAGTCGGCAAAAATAGCGAGTGAATTAGCTACGTTTTTTTTCAGTCTTTCTTGTTCTTTCTTTCTTTCTTTCTTCCTTCCTTCCTTCCTTCTCTTTCTGTTTTCCTTTCTTCTTCCTTCCTTTCTTCTTGTCTTCTTTTTTTTCCTTCTCTTTCTTTTTCTTTGACCTTTCTTCCTTCCTTTCTTTCTTTATTTATTTCCTTTCTTTTTCTCTCTTTCCCTTCCTTTCTTTCTCCCTTCATTTTTTTCTCCTTCCTTTCCTCTCTCTCTCTTTCCACTTCTTTCTTTCTTCTTTTTTTCTTTTCCTTTTCTTCCTTTCCTTTCCTTTCTTTTCCCTTCCTTTCTTTCTTCCTTTTTCCCTTTCTTTCTTCTTCTTTCTTCTTTTCCTTCTCCTTCCTTCCTTTCTTTCCTTTCTTTCTCTCTCTTTTCTCTTCCTTCCTTTCTCTCCTCATGCCCACCCACTCCCACCTCGCGGTATGGCTTTATTTTGTGTTTGTTTGTTTGTTCGATCGACTCGCCCTCGCATCGTGTTTGTTTTCCAGGTCCGAGTGCAAGGGTGGTGTTGCTGATGGTGATTGCAGGGTCGAGCATGGTGTTGAACGAATGGTGGATGGATGTGTGGTGATGGTGAGGAGGATTGGTGGTGGTGTGGTGATGATGGCGTGATGATGATGATGGTTGTGGTGGTGGTGGTGGTGGTGATGGTTGTGGTTTGGTGGGCAGTGATGGTGATATGATGGTGGTGAGGATTGTGGTGGTGATGATGATGGTATTTGATGTTGTGGTGGTGGTGATTGTGGCAGTGTTGGTGATGAGGATTGGTGGTGGTGATGTGGTATTGTGGTGTGATGAGTTGTGGTGATGTGGTGGTGGTGATAGTGATGATGTATGAGTGGTGGTGGTGGTGATAGTGATGATGGTGGTGAGGTCGTGTGGTGATAGTGATGAAGGCGAGAGGCACTTAGGACTCAGGTGGGATTGCGTTGAGGTTTTTTTTTAGGGGGGGGGGGGAGGAAGAGGGGAAATGTTGGGCGCTTTGAGATGACTTGAACGGATGAGATGGATGAGAGGAGAGGAGGAGAGAGAGAGAGGGGAGGGGAGGAGAGGGGAAGGAGGAGAGGCGACTAAGGAGAGGAGAGGGTGAAGAAAGAGAGAAAAAGAGGGGAGAGCGAGAAGGGAGGAGGTGGGCAGGGAAGGGAACCCGAGAGAGAGAGAGAGAGAGAGAGAGAGAGAGAGAGAGAGAGAGAGAGAGAGAGAGAGAGAGAGAAGGAGCACAGGGCGGTTGCGAAAGGGGAACAAAAACACACGAGGAGCGTGATCCACAGTACGGCAGGATGTAAGAGTTTTTGGTACAGCCGGTATGATCAGAAAAAAAAAAACAGAGAGAAAAAAAGCTTTATGTACGCCCCCTTACCCACCTCGGCGCGCATCCATTTCTCGCTCTTGTACGCGGGCGGTAGGGCGACTTCCCCTGGGCTTGTTGACCC